AGAAAGGCTGACCCTTATCTAAAGATGGGGCATCTATCTTTGACCGCCTGTAGCATCCATCTCAAAATAAGGTGAAAGGATAAGGGACATTCTCTTCAGGCTGGGAAATTTCCAAGCTGGGTCAAACGGCAAAACAGCATTAAAGGGTTACAAGTTCATGTTTTGAGATTTGGGTAAAAGATGAGATTCTCACATTTCAATTGAGAGAATACCTCACCATGGAAAGGAAAGGAAAGCAGAGGCTGCACAGCCTCCAGATTCAAGGAACACAGAGAGTCCTCAGCTTACAACCAAAATGGGGACCAGAGTTTTCGTTGCTAAACCAGCTAGTTGATAAGTGAGTCACGGCCAATTTTGTAACCTTTCTTGCCACGGTTGTGAAGCTGTGAAGTTATGAGAGGCATCTGGAAGGTTGTTAAGCAAATCTGGTTTCTCCCATTGACTTTGTTTGGCGAAGCGGTGATATTCGTATATTAAAAATATTCTTTTCTCGCCTGTCTTTCTCATTCTTGGGTCCTCTTCTACCTCGGAATTTGAGGGTTCTTCATAGCATCTCAGCTGTTCCTAGCATTTTGGAACAGCTCTTTTGGACCACCAACACATACATGGGTTTGATATGTACATATGAATATTATATATGTGTGTGTTAGCTAGATATAGAGACAGAGACAGAGATAGAGATAAGAGATACAGTAGAGATAAAGATATGGTGGAGATAGAAAAAGAAATAGAGATAGAGATAGAGAGATATATGGAGATAGAGATATGATGGAGACAGAGATGGAAATAGAGATAGAGATAAGAAAAGTAGAGATAGGAGATAGAGATGAGATGCTGTGGAGATAGAGATAGAGATAAGAAAAATAGAGATAGAGATAAGAGAAATAGAGATAAGAGAAATAGAGATAGAGATATGGAGATAAGATATAGAGATATGGTGGAAGAGATAGAAATAGAGATAAGAGAAATAGAGATAAGAGATAGAGGTATGGTGGCGAGATACGGTGGAGATAGAGTAGAAATAGAGATAGAAATAAGAGAAATAAAGATAAGAGATAGGGATATGATGGAGATAGAGGTAGAGATATGGTACAGATAGAGATAGAAATAGAGATATGGTGGAGATAAAGATAGAAATAGAGATAAGAGATAGAGATAAGAGAAATAGAGATATGAGAGAGAAGATAGATAGGTAGAGACCGAGATATAGATATAGATATACTGTAAATATACAGGAAGTCCTTCACTTACAACAGTTCATTTAGTGACTGTTCAAAGTTACAATGGCATTGAAAAAAGTGACTTGTGATCATTTTTCACACTTATAACTGTCGTGAGAGAAAGAGAGAGAAAGCTGGGGGCGGGGAGGAGAACTAAAGTGTGTTCTTTTGAAGAGGACACGGCTGGCTGATTGAATGACTTGAACCGAAGAAAGGAGGATGAGGAGCGAACATGACACCAGTGTTCCAGTATTTGAGGGGCTGCCCCAGAGAAGAGGGGTGCCAGCCTCTTCTCCAAAGCACCTCAAGGCAGGAGAAAAAGCAACGGATGGAAACTAATCAAGGAGAGAAGCAACTTAGAACTAAGGAGACATTTCCTGGCAGTGAATTAATAAGTGGAACAACATCCTTCCAGAAGTTGTGAATGCTCCAAACACTGGGAAGTTTTTAAAGAAGAGATTGGATAACTGAAATGGGACAGGTTTTCCTGCCTGAGCAGGACGGGGTTGGACTAGAAGACCTCCAAAGTCCCTTCCGACTCTGTTATTCTGTTAACTGTTCCTCCCTTGAGATCGAATTGCCGTATTCTGACTTCTTAATCTTGATCGCGACTGAACCTTTCCCCACATTTGGTTTGCATGCTCCACAGCATTTACTTCTGCATTTTTGGGTGGGTTGGCTAATGATCAGCGCTTGCAATTAGTAAACTTCCCGAAAGCAACCCGTCCTGCCCCTGGGCTTGTCCTCAAAACTGGAACTCATCCAGTGTGGGATGCATCATTAAAATGCAGGCTGCGCCTGGCCAGTTCTCAGGCGCTTGGAATACATGTGTGCCTTTAAGAACAGGTTGGCAACAGGCAACAGGTCCATGTCGTTGTTATTTTTTCTCAGCCTAGAAAAAGTGAGGAAACTATTCCCCCCCACCCCCAACCAAGAAATTAGGTCGTTTGTTTTTAAAGGCACAGCTGAGCACCAGCACAAAACAGAAACCTTGGCAACAGAATAACAGAGTTGGAAGGGGCCTTGGAGGTCTTCTAGTCCAACCCCTTACTCAAGCAGGAAGCCCTACACCATTTCTGACAGATGGCAGTCCAGTCTCTTCTTGAAAGCCTCCAGGGATGAAGCTCCCACAACTTCCAAAGGCCACTTCTGTTCCATGGGTGGATTGTCCTCACTGTCAGAAAATTTAGTTTAGCTTTTTTAGTTTAGTTTAGTTTATTGTCCTTGCACCTCATACAGTGAAATTAAACACCTTCTTCAGTGTACCTTATGACTATGAAAATAAACACAAGCACCCATTTTATATACTTCACATTTTATACATTGAATTGAAAACCCCTGATATTGCATTAATATTGCACTATACGGTAGAATTCAATAGAATCGAATTCTTATTAGGGTTACATTCATATTAAAAACTACTCAACCTTATATATCTTAACATTGTAACTATATTCATTTAACTTCTTCCTTTATTTTATATTACATGATATGGGATTTATTTTATCAAAGGTTGGAAAATAAAGGGAGAAGTTAAAGCAACTTGTCAGCTTTGAAGGTGGGTGGATTACAACTCTTGGAATTCCCATGGTTGGCTAAGTTAAGGCATTCTGGGAGTTGGTCCACATATCTTTAAGGTGACAAGTTGGAGGAGCATTGATTTCATGCTCTGAATTGCTACTCGGCAAATAGGCAAGGCTGCTAACCTCAAAATGTCACACAGAAACAGTGGTTTGTTCAATGGTTAAAAATCTAGAGAAATAAAATATCAAGGGGGGCGGCGGGGAACCTAAAACGTTCCAGGGAGAATGGCAGCCAAGAAAGACAGCTCAGAATTTTTGGAAGATCGGATCGCGTAGCCTGAATTTCCATGCATAAAATATCAAAAGACGCAGCATGATCATGTCGGAATATTTTCCTTATATGTTTACAAGAAGTTTAAATTAAAGATTGATGAAAGATTGTATATGCAGCAATCATGCCATTGTATAATAAGAGGAAAGGGTCCTGTCATTATAAATGAACGCATCTTGTAGCAAAAGCACTATGTAAATGTTATATAGAGTCAGTTTTGTCTAATGGTTCAGGCACCAAGCTAGAAGAAACCAGGAGATGGTGAGTTCTAGTCCTGCCTTAGGCATGAAATCCCGCTGGGTGACTTTGGACCAATAATAAATAATAAAAACATCTCACTAACTTCATTTCCAAATAAATTTAATATGTTAACTATGTTTTCTACGGTTTTTTGGGATGATCAGGTATCGTTACTGTTATTTTATTTTATGTGCGGCCCAAACCAAATTTTCATCTTCTAATGTGGCCCACGGAAGGTGAAAGGTTGGACACCCCTGGTCTAGGAAGAGTCGAGATGTGTGGCAAACAAATTTAATAAATAATAAAGTAAATATGCGGAGGAAAGATAAAGTGCCAATTTATATATACATTGTGTTTACAGATAAGGAATAATATGATTTAAGAGACCGAAAAGGAGAAAGGATTGAATCGGAGGCGAATGTTCATACTAATAGCACATGAACTGTATTCTCTTCTATTGATAATGTTTGGCCAATTTTTTTCAACTAAAAACCTGCCAGAAAGGAGACAGAGAAACCAACAGGGTCCCCACCCAATCTAACTGGACAAACTTCGATTGAATTTTTTTTTTTAACCCTCTACTGATCATCTGGAATGTTTTATTGGGTTCTCAGCTTGGACAGGACTCGCAGGAAAGGGTGGTGTTGGATCCTTCTGAGAACATCAAAATTTTCACTCACAATTCAGGTTGCAATCCCAAAGTCACAAAAGTCTTCCTCGCTATTTGCACAAGCACATTTTTTAAAAAAATCTCTGGCTCTGGGTTGAAATTCGATTCCTTCCTTCTGCGGCTGATTTTGGTATTTGCAAAAAAATTGCAAAATGTTCTTGTAACCACAAGGCATGGCATGTTCATTTCAACCAGCTAAATTGGCAAACTGGTGGTTTTGTGAGCCAACACTTGTAATGTCTTAGGGTTCGTATGAAGAAATTATTGAGAAAATCCCTCAATATTGCAGCTCAAACTTCAACTCATTGCTGACCAGAAAGGAAAATTTTTGAGTCTGTCATCTGAAGCTCTATAACTGGTTTGGTTCTGCAACCCAACAAGACAGACACAGACTTCAGAGAGTAATTAGGATTGCAGAAAAAACAATTGCTGCCAATCTGCCTTCAATCGAGGACCTGTATCCTGCACGAGTCAAAAAGAGGGATGTGAAAATATCTACAGACCTCTCATATCCTGAACATAAACTGTTTCAACTCCTACCCTCATAACGACGCTATAGAGCCCTGCACACCAGAACTAGACACAAGGACAGATTTTTCCCAAATGCCATCACTCTGCTAAACAAATAATTCCCTCATCACTGTCCAACTGCTTACTCAGTCTGCACTACTATTACTATTAATCTTCTCATCACTCCTTATCACCCATTCCCTCTCACTTGTGACTGTATGACTGTAACTTTGTCGCTTGCATCCTTACGATTTTTAATGACTGTTTCCTAGTATGATTTGATTGCTTATTGTACCCTATGACTATTATTAAGTGTTGTACCTTATGATTCTTGACTCTTAACAAATGTATCTTTTCTTTTTATGTACACTGAGAGCATATGGACACAACTTCCTTGTGTGTCCAATCGCACTTAGTCAATAAAGAATTCTATTCTATTCTAAAGCATGCACAATGCAATACAGAAATATTTATTAAAAGACCCAGACATTCTTCATAGACAATAGTTTAATTCAAGTGAAAAAACACATTTTATTTTGAGCAATGTTAGAATGTGTAAAGGGCATCCATATATTTTTCCGTTGTGTTCCAAACTGGATAACATCACATTGACTTCCTATAAAGCCTGAGGTGCTTAATACAAAACGTTATGATAATTTTGATTTTGTGCCATCCTTTTTTTTTTTTTGACTCCTGGATTTATTTCTTAGCTGTTTTGTAGGTTGCAAACATTCTCACTTTTTAAAAGTTGAGAATGACTTAGGTTTTGTTCATATAAACAGAAACAAAGTAAGCTAACATACAGTTTGGGTCAAAGTTGAGCTTCAAAAGAAATTAGCATCAGATCAAGATTAATATCCAAGCACAGAACTGTTCAGCTTTACACACGCAGATGGAGGATAACGTGTGTGTTTGCCTTCTCTGGAAACATCTGCAGAAAGATTTAATGGGGAGAAAGCAAAATATGAATTGGGCGATATGATCCAGTACCAATTGGACAGCAATCTTGGTCTGAGCCACACAATAACAATAACAACATCAAGAACAGCAATAACAATAATGCTATTTTATTATTGGTAAAAGTGTTTGCAATTAAAACGAGTACTGTAATTAATAAGAACGTAAAATATAATTCTAACTGTAAGAGAATGATGATCTCTTTTGAGACAGGGAAGTCAATGGCTTAGCTCAGTTGGAGATTCCCAAACTATATCCTATGATCTCAAATAGAGACTGGTCCAGAATCATCTGATGAACTTCCATCATTGTGGGAAGAACTTGGGTCTTATTTCTACTCCACCCTAGAAGAAGATTCTGGAATTCTTAGAATGTTAACTTCTTCCGAAGGACATGAAATTGTTTTTTTTTAAATCTCTCTCTTGATTTGCAGACCACTCTTCAAACACTTGGCTTCCTGGGCAAAATTGAGCTGAATTGAGTTGAATTCTAACCCTCCCAAGGTCCCACACACCTACCTTTCACGAAAGAAGGAATGGCTTCCAAATTCAGCATTCAGGGGAGAATAGTGACAACACGCCTATGGAAAAAAAAAGAAAAAGAAATTGCAATTCTCATTTCAGGCGTTCCCTATCCTTCCCCTTTTGTTTCAAGCTGCTCAAGGTCATTTTAGCCTCAGAAAAAGCTGAGGAGGACTATTGTTCTAAATGAAAGCAAAAGAAGGACGGATAGACTCAAATTTCTCCTCTTGATGCTTCCTGGGAAAAAAAATACTTTGGGAACTCTGTTTTCCCCCCATGTTAACTTGCAGAAGGAACCAAGGAAGGGAGGAAAGGAAGGAGGAAGGAGAGGAGGTGAAAGAAAAAGAAGAAGAGGGAAGCAGAGAAAGCAAAAAGAGAAGGAAGGAAAGAAGGAAGGAAGGAAGGAGGGAAAGAAGGGAGGGAAGGGAGGAAAGGAGGGAAGGAAGGAAGGAAGAGGAGGAGGGGAGAGAGGGAAGGAAGAGGAGAGGGAGGAAGGGAGGAAGGAGAGGAAAGAAGGAAGAAGAGGGAAGTAGGGAAAGTAAAAAGAGAAGGAAGGAAGGAAGGAAGGAAAGACTACAAGCATATTGAATGGTATAACAACTACAGTATATTTGAATCCTGAACTCTTAGTGTCTAAGGCCCAAACTGTGTGTATTTTTTAAAAATGTGACTTGATGAGACGAATGACATTTTCATGCGACAAACATCAGGACAGGCATGTGGCACAAGCGGCACATCAGAATTTCTGAGAAATCCATGTGCCTCCTCATCCCCTAATCACTACCGATCAAAGAAGCCTAAGGAATTCATTTCCCCGGCTTACGGTTTCTACAATTCCCACTTTTTCCTTTTCTCTTTCTTGAACATGGATTGGTCGATAGGCAACAACTTGGTGGTGAGTGAAAGAGGGCAGGCTGATTTCATCCTAGAGATTTGTAATGTGTATGTGTCAGATACAGACACAGATTAACAGCATTGGAAGGGACCTTGTAGGTCATCTAGTCTAATCCCCGCCCAAGGAAAGCCAATTTTTGACAGTTTCTTCTTGAAAGCTTCCAGGGATGAAGCTCCCACAAGTGTGTGTGTGTGTGTGTGTTTTCCCAGAGGAAAAAAATAAATAAAGGAAAATAAGAAAGATAATCCCTCCCTCCCCCAGAAGCTTGGAAAAGAATTCGTTTGGAAGTTCAGCTTAGTCTCTTTATCCTTGCTGAGTGAAGAATTCTGGGAGTTGAAGTTCCCAAGTCTTAAAGTTCAAGGTTGAGAAACTCTGGTTTAAACCCCAGTTAGAATCCGAGGTAGCCACCAATCCTTCTCTCATTTCTCTCTGGATCCCCCAGTTCCTGCCCCTCACCTCACCCCATCCAGGGATGGGCTGCTGGGGGCTCGCAGGGTCTCGCGCCATCCCCTAGCTAAGACCCTGGGAGCCCCCAGTAACCTCAGAAGGACAAACATTCACAACTAGAACAGTAAATGGACACCTTTTTGGCTTTTTTCTCCTTTCCGGGTGTTCATCCAAGAGCACTTCACACCTGGTAAAAGTGTGGCAAGCTAAATAAAGTGCTTGTTGGAGGAAGAGCCATAGAGAAAATCAGATCACCTATCCATCAGCCTCCGAGGGGATTAATTCCCAAATAATAAGGATTACAAAACTCCCCAGAAACTCCACGAAGAGTCCCAAGATCCCCCTCACAGTCACTGCTATTAAGCCTGGTATTAAGTCTTTTATTTAAGTATTAAATACACGGAATAATAAACATTTTTTTGGTATATTATCTTTTTTTTTTAGGGCAAAGAAAGGATGCCGAGTTGGCCACACCCACCCAGTCACATGACCACCTAGCCACGCCCACCCAGCCAGTCATTAGGGCAGAGAGCCCCTTGGTAAAAAAAAATTTGAAGCCCACCCTTGACCCCCATCCCACCCCAAGCAGTGGATCTACTTACCAAACAGCAGCGGCACAAGGGATAGACTGCTGGCCCAGGTGAGGGATCCAAGCAAAGCCCCAGCAATGATGCCTACGCTATATTTCACAGAAGTTGATCCTGAAACCACAAATCGCTTTTAGGTTAGTTTGCAGACGTAACTGCATTTTGTCTACCTTTGTCATTGAACAAGGATTCGGGTAGATGTCTGTGAAGGTTCTCCGTCCTCCAGGTCATGAGTTTTTTTCTTTTCAAGAGACAACTGGACTTTCTGGTTTTCCTTCGAAGATGACGTTTCTTCAGCTCTGAGTGGATGGTGGGGAATGGAAGGATTTATACTCCTGACACACAGCTGGTCGTTTGCATCCTTTTAGAGGGTCGTTGAGGCCACTTGGCCCTCTCTCAACAGAAGGGGAGGGATACGGCATCATCTACCTTCCGTCTATAACAGACTCCTTTCAACAGTTCCAAGAAGGCTCCACACCCATTCGCACCAGGAGGACATAGATAAACCTCCAAGTGGCCTCAACGACTTCCTAAAAAGGATGCAAATGACCAGCTGTTTTCAAGGAACATAAATCCTTCCATTCCCTATCATCCAGTCAGAGCTGAAGAAGCTTCTCGGATGAGAAGCGAAACGTCTTCAAAGAAAAACCAGAAAGTCCAGTTGCCTCTGGGAAAAAGCACCTTTGGGACAAAGATTCAGGTCGTCCTCACCTTACAACCACAACTGAGCCCCAAATTTCTGTTGCTTAAGTGAAACGTTTGCTAAGTGTTTGCCTTTGTCCTGTTTTATAAACCTTTCTTGCCACGGTTGTGTTTCCAGGTGCAATTCAAGCAAGTTTTACATGGCTTGGGACCAGGGTCCCCGAGACCCTACTTATTCAACTAGATTTAGCAGAACTGCCATGCCCCTGGTGGAGACTGACTCTGAGGGAGAGGAGGAACAGCCGACAGGGAGGGGAAGTGTGGCTCCGGAGGTGGTGGAGGAGACTGGGGAAGGGCAGAGGCTGGCTGGGCAGTCAGAGGAGGATCCAGGCCTATCCCTTCTCCATCCTAGGGCATGCAGGGAGGAGAGGATAAGGGAGAGATGTGGCCTACTTGGGAGGAGAGGGCCTTGATCCTCTTCATGGGCTGCAGCTGTGACAGCTGGATAAGAGTTTGGACCTGTGTGCAGGCAAACGCTGGAAACAAACCGTGTAAATGTCTCTAGTTTATTGTTCCTCTCTGAGTTTGTCATCCTTCCCAGTGTGTGTTATCTGAGGGCATCTTCCAGCCCTTATCTTGCCTGGTTTGTGTTGCTTTTTTTCGTGTAACTGTTTGTGTGGGAGTGTTTTTGTCTTCCGTCAAAGATATTTGGAGCTTGGAAGCCAAGTGAAGGAATAAAAGGGGCTTCGCCTGTTTTCTGTGACTGTGTTTGTTTTGTGTATATCCCACCCTGGGTCATCACAAGAACAGGTATGTTGTAGATCCCAACAACCAGGGTGTCAGCCAAAGTCCTTGACTGAGATAGGTGGCTATAGAAATTGATTGAACGATGGATTGATGGATTGAATGAATAAGTGAATGAATGAACGAATAAGACCTGGCCTTCACGTTCCTCTAACCAAGCAATCTCCTTCAACTTCTCAATCCTATGCTTCAGGGACTTCTCCTTTTCGATACTAATATTCAGGCTGATCGTCTTCAAGAAATTCTAGATTTTTCACAATTCGCCCCCTCCCCACATATCCCTGCTGCTTCTTTTTTTCCAAAATTTAATTTCAATATTTCATCCAGAGGTGGTATTCAGCCGGTTCTGACCAATTCTGGAGAACCAGTAGCGGAAAATTTGAGTAATTTGGAGAACCAGCAAATCCCACCTCTGACTGGCCCCGCCAACCCCCTCTATTCTCTGCCTCCCATTGAGTCCCAGCTGATTGGTTGGGCCTTCTTTGGTTGCCCTGCACAGGAGAACGGAGCTGGAAAGCAGGTTAGTGGGGTGGGGAGGGAAGGGGGATTTTGCAGTATATCCTTCCCCTGCCACGCCCACCAAGCTATGCCACGCCCACCAAGCCACGCCCACAAAACTGGTAGTATAAAAATTTGAACCCCACCATTGGACTATAAGTATGAGGAAGCGTTTTTTTTAGTGTGTTTAAATTTAGGTAGAAGGCCTGGCGTGATTTTTCTTGCTTTCTTCGTCGTTCTCCTTGCTCCATCTCATGATTTTCTTCAACTACTTGAGAGTAAGCTTGCTTTAGGGTAAATGGAACCGCTGCATAGATTTAAAAGTCAACAAATCGTACGATATAACTGAGTGGTCAGGCCACTTCAAGCTAGGAACATACCCCCGATGGAATATTTATAGCTCTGGGTTGAAAAGTAAAGTCCTCGGAAATCCCTGAGTTTGATGGTTTTCTTGCAGACGTTTCATGACCCAACTAGGTAACATCATCAGTGCT